TTTAATATTATATTAATATTAAAACTTATAAGCTTTATAATTTTTATAATTTTTATTTTAATTTAAGTTTTTTTTTTACTTAAAATTTAATTATAAAAATTAAAAATACTAATTTTTATAATTTAATAAGTTTTCTTAACTTATAATATTTTTAAGTAATAATTTAATTTGTTTTTATTATTTTTATATATAAAATATAAATTATTATAATAAGTTATTTAACTAAAGTAATTATATAATATTTTTATAATAGTATTTATTTAAATTTTATTTTTAATAATTTTTTATTTTTTTTATTTTTTTTAATATAATAATAATTTTTATTATAACTTTTTTTATTATAAAATTTATAAGTTATTTTTAATTAATAATTTACTTTTTTATAACTTTTTTTATTATAAATATTATAAGTTTTATTAAACTTTTTATAATTAAAAATCTTAATATTTTTTTTAATTAAATTTTATTATTTTTAATAATATAATTTTTTTTAATTAACTTAAAATTAATATTTAATTATTTAATTATTATTATTATTTTTTTATTATTTTTATTTTTATTATTAATTATTAATTATAATAATTTTTTAAGTAAATATAATAAAAATAATTTTTTATTAATTTATTTTATAAATTTTATTTTTAATTTTTAATTTTAAGTTATAATAATATATTTTCTTTTTTATATTTTTAATTTAATTAATTTTATTAAATAATTAAATAAAAGTTAAAATATATTTATAATATAATTTCTTTTATTTAAGAATTTTAAGTTTTTTATTTTATTTTTTAAGTTTTATTAGTAATTTTAAATTATTTTTTAAATTATTTTTTAAAATTTTTATATTTTTTAAAAACTTTTTTTATTAATTTACTTTAATTAATTAAAAAAAATTTTTTTTAAAAAATATTTTAATTTAATTAGTTATTATATTTTTAATATATATTCTTATATATTAAAACTTTTTTTAAATTATTTTTTAAAAAAGTTTTTAAATAAAAATACTTAAAGTATATTTATAAATTATTAAATATTTAATAAAATTTAATAATATTTTTATTAAATTTTTTTAATTATTTAATTTTTAAATTTTTTTTTAATTTTAATTTATTATTTATAAAAATTATTAATATTATTATAAGTATTATAATAAGTTTTATAATAAAAGTTACTTAAGGTATTATTATTAATAAGTTATTAAGTTATTATTATAAATTATTAATAATTTATATATATTAAAAAATAATTTATTAATTTATTTAATATTAAATATATAAGTTTTAAATTATATATTTTATATTTTTTATATAAGTTTTAATATTTTATTTTTATTATTTATATTACTTATATTTTTATTTAAAAGCTTTTATTAAAATATTTTATTAATTATAAGTTATTTTTATTAAGATATTTTTAAATTTAATAATATTATTTAACTAATAATTACTTAAAGCTTAACTTTTATAATTAATATTATTATTTAAAATATTAAAAGTTAATATTTATATTTATATTTTTATATTACTTATGAAATTTAATAATTATTTAAATAATTAATTTAAGTAAATTCCTAAGAAATAAACCTAGTAAATAATTTTAAATTTATATTAATAAAATAGTTAAGAAATCTAAAAGGTAATATAATAATAATAGTAAATAAATATTACTAAAGTATAAGTAATATAAAGTATATTATAATTTTAATTTTATATTAATAATTAGCTATTTAAAATTATTTTTAAGTAAATATAAAAAGTATATATATATTTTATTATTTATTATTATTTACTTTCTTAATATAAATATCTTTTAAAATAAATAGCTATTTACTAGTATTTACTTTCTTAAAGTAAATATAATTTTAATTAGTTATATTAGCTAATAGTTTCTTTATTATATTTACTTTATAAGCTTACTATTATAACTATAAGTTATTAGATTATAATAATATTATAATTTAAATTTTTATAATATTTAATAAATTTAATAAAAAAGTTTAATAATAAATTATAATAATTTATAATTTATAATTTATTATTAATTTTTAAAAAATATAAAATAAATTATTTTTAATATATTATTATATAAATTAATATAAAATAAATTAATAATTAAAACTTAATTATATTTTTTCTATATATAAAATATTAAAAAAATATAATATTAGTTATTTAACTAAAGTATAAGCTTATTATATTATATGACCTACTTATTTAGCAAATATTTACTTTAGAATAATAGCCTGGTAACATATCCCTTAATTTAAAAACTTTATTAACTGGTACCTTTATTTAAACATTTACATCCAAGCTGTACTATCAATAGTAGCAGTAACCAAATACACCATGGATAAAGAACACCAGCCCGATAAGAACTATATGTTTTCTCCTCTTGCCTTATATTTCCGTCACCAAGAATATCCAGCTGCAAGGAAGGGTAAGAAAACTATGATCGGTCACAATGGCTGGCTTGAAATCACAGAGCGATCCAGTTGCCGTAATAAACAAACATCACCGAAGAAGACAGGCATTCTAGATGGCATTAGGAAGATTGCCAAAGATATAGTGAGTTAAAACTGTTGTTTCATGTATAAGAGATGAGGCTGATAGGAGGAGACCGAGGTACACCAAAGCCGACGATTGCAGCCGGCTGTGAAGGGATCAACAGAGCTACACGGGGCCGTTTCACTCGAGCCTCGAGAACAGAGTCTTTTGTATTGTGAACTAGAATTCAATCTTTCAACGGCTTTAAACGCATATATTAGCAACCAGCTTGAGAAACCCCATCTCTCTCCTGACAACCTGAAGAAAATCTCAGATGCGTGGCACCAACGAGGCTATCCCAGAGTAATCGGCTTTAGATACGATTTAGAGACACAGCTAGAGCTCGTCAGTCTTCACATCAATGAGTTTAGCTTCTATGGCCGCCGGCAAGGTAACGCTACTGAGATCAGCCTTTTGCTGAACGAGATGAAGATGAACGCACGCAACATGCGTGTCCGGACATATTGCCAACTAGACTCCACTATAGCCAAGCACCTAATTGACTCGCAGTCACTGTTCAACTTGATAAATGCAACAGCAAGCCAGCAGACCGCCCTTGCAGAAATCGCACAGTTTTTTAAGCTAGTTATAAACTAATTAGCTGCTATAGTAACGTCAATTATTCTGAAGAAAGATGCAAATCCCAAACATATGGGTTAAATGAAGTAGTACTATTGGTAAAAGCAACCGTGCAAGTGGACTACGTCCGCTGTTAGTCTTTTTTAGCCCAGTTTCAAAGAAGAAAAAATTAGAAGAAAAAAACACAAAAAGTTGGTTACCTAATGTAAGATAACCTACATGTACCTACATGTATACACCTTTATGCTACCAACATATATACAATTTTGACCTCATACTCTTTTATGGGGCACTCTTCTTTTTCTTCTCCATCTCTGTGCTTTGAATACCATGGCGAAGACAGAAGGACGTCTAGGGTCGTCGGCCCTGGACGATATGGTCATGGGGGTATGTGTATTTATTTATGCTGGGATTTGACTCAATATCGTGCCCTGCAATAGCCCTACTTAATTGCAATTTCCACAGTGTTTTCGTAGAGTGAGCACTAATGGCCAAATAGACAAATAACAGCAGCATTGCCTCCAAACGCAGTGTTGAACGACTGTATTATGGAAATGAGCCTTCTTTCTTCCGCTACTTTGTCCCAAAGTTCCAAAGGAGAGCCCCTCTCATTAATAGAGGATATTGGCTTCGTCTTCGGGCGATTGATGTCATTGTGCAGAGATTTTTGGCCAAAGAGACGACCGGGAAAAAGGTTATTATCAACCTTGGCTGTGGGAGGTAAGAGACTGCGTATTCTATAAATCGTCACTGTAATGGCAAATTCTTACGAGCCAAAGTGATGTCTTGCCCTGGCAATGCCATGCTCGTTATAGAGACCTGGGCAACGATGCCCTCTTCATCGACATCGACTACCCTGATCTCATCCAGAAGAAACGAGCTATCGTTTTACAAACTCCGGAACTGCGACCTCTTCTTGGAGATGACTTCACTGTAAGTGAAGATAAAGATGGAGTGCTCCTGCGCAGTAATAAGTATTGCCAGCTTGGGTGTGATCTTCGTCAACTCGACCACCTACGCGATGTCCTGAAAACGGTTGTTGATCTACCTGAGTGTGCTATTCTCTTTGTGGCCGAAGTTTCAATTACTTATATGGACACCTGGTCTACCGATTCTTTAATCCAATGGGCAAGCACTGTTGGCCGAGGTTTGTCTGCGTCCTCTGATTTCGCAATAACCTGTGCCGGAAGCCCCGACAACGAGTTTCCTACCTTTTCAGCTATCTTACTCAACATTGAGTTTTTTCTTCTGCTAACCAGTGTCTAGAAAATGATTTCTGTCTTTTGGAGCAGATACTGCCTTTCGAGAAGAACCATCCATTTGCTCAACAGATGGTCAGTCATTTTGAGAAGCTGAGCACTCCTTTGCGCTCTATTGAAGTATATCCTACAGTGAAGAGCCAAACTAGCCGGTTTCAAGAACGTGGATGGGCTTTTGTAGAAATAAAGGACCTATGGCAGACATGGTCGAGTGACCAGTTCATTAGCGACTCAGAACGAATTGCCCTTGATGACGTCGAACCCTTCGATGAATGGGAGGAATTTATACTCTTCGCACGGCATTATTTTGTCCTCCATGCTTCTACTGGTCACAATCAGCCTTCTTCATTGCAAGATCCCCCCTCGACCTGGAGCATTGGCCAGAAGGCACCCACAGGGTTACATGTTGAACTAGTAGGCAAATCTTCCCCGAAAACGACCAGACGGCGATTTGGAAATGCCATGATATCTAGCAATGCATTCGGACAACGATTCGCCCTGAATTTGCTAGGGATGAGTCTCAACAGCAGAGAACCCACTTACGATATCTTTTCTCTCGAAGGCGAATCGCAGGCCCCTCAGCTGCCTTCTTCTGGCCCGCCTGCTCGGATGTGCTTCACTTTGACAGACCTGGGAGATTATGGCATCATGTTAGTTGGCGGCCGCACATCGCCCTCCTGTGCTTTATCCGACTGTTGGCTCTTTAAAGGAGGTATCAGCCCACGGTGGTGGCAAATGCCACGACTACCTACCCCTTTATTTAGGCATTCTGCGGTTCGACTGGGGAATTCGTCACTTCTCCTGATTTTCGGAGGCAAGAAGAGTTCATCGAAATTGTCAGACGAAATCTTTCTATTTAACCCTGACAAAGCTTGCTGGCAAAGTTGCCAGGTCGTAGGATCTGCTCCCGATCCCTGTTTCGGATCAATTGCTTTCAATGGAATCTCTCCTTCAGACCAGCCGGGGACTTTCCGTGGAATGCTGGCTGGAGGTATATCTCAAAATGGCCGCATCAATACCAAGCTGTACAGGTGGCAAATAAATGCCTTTGATCTCCAAGTATGTTTCGCTCCTCCTTGGTCTCATATACTCAATTGCTCTCAAAAGCTCTATATGCTGCCGAATCGTTCCTGCTAACGATTTGAATGTTGTGCTAGCCAACCATTTCATTCTCTCCTCTCCCAGATACCTTCTCAGATGGACAACTCCTCTCTTCTTTTGGCGCTCAAGTTGTTCATTTAGGGGCCTCCGTAATAATATGCGGTGGAATGGGTGCAGACCCTCTCCTACATGGGCAGACTATCGCAGCTATAAAGCCTTCTGTCGACGGAATAGAGGTCACAAACTTTGCAACTCCAAGCGATGACAAGCGCATGCCATTTATGATTGGATCGTCAGTTATACCCTATAATGATTCCCTGTTGGTGATGGGTGGGGGAGCGACTTGCTTCTCCATGGGAACTTTTTGGGAGACGGCTATTTACAAAGTTCATATGCCCGATCATATACTGGATTCTATTTATCGCACGTCACGCCATTGTGCTTCGTCCAAATCTGCCCCTGACTTCATTGGGAGTCGCAAATTCTCAAATATTTCTGCTACTACAATTTCGGATGATGCTGGAAGCTTATATCGAGGAGAGCATGGGATTCAAGTCACGCCTGTACCTCGGATACAGCTTGAGTCGGCTGAGCAGTTCCAGAAGATCCTACGTGACGGGAAACCCGTCATTTTCAAGAGCTGCAATATAGGGCACTGCCAAAGCAAATGGTCTCCCGAGTTTTTGGTGAGCCAGATTGGTGCAAATGAGAAGGTACGTTGAGATACATTCGGAAACTCCCAGGGCCGGCAATGAACAGTCAACTGATGTAGAGTAATTAGTTTGTTATACACGAATCCCATGAAGACAAGGGAACAATGGATTTCAATAGCAAAAATTTTGCGTATGTCACAGACTCATTCGGAAGCATCATGGACAAATTACAGTCTGGGGCTAGAGTTTACCTACGAGCGTTGTCGCGCAATAAACCATCCGAAGCGCCAGCCAAACTGGAAGAAGATTTCCCATGTTTGGCAGAAGACTTTACGCTACCGCCCGAAATGGCCTATATCAAGGATCGTCTTTTCAGTTCAGTCTTGAGATTGGCTGGACGAGTGAATATGTGGTTGCACTATGATGTTAGTACATATCTCCTTTCTGCGGCAGTTTGCTCGCTGTCCCTTGCTGTTTGGTGGATGGACTAACAAGACATCGCATTCTCATAACAGGTTATGGCAAACGTTTATGCGCAGGTGACGGGGGTTAGAAAAATGATCTTATTCCCACCTAGCGACGTAAAACATTTGTCTTTCGCACCTGGTGCTTCCAGCTCTAGTATAGACGTTTTCAATGGGCTGGGGTCTTCAGCGGCCTCGCTTCACGGGACGCATCCTCAAGAGGCAGAGATTCACCCGGGCGACATCTTATTGCTACCGGCTCTATGGCTTCATACGGCTGCTCCAATGTCCGACATGAGCACTGCGGTGAATGTCTTCTTCCGTGACCTAGAGCAGCAAGAGCATTACTCGTCTGGACGAGACGTCTATGGAAATAAAGACCTGGAGGCCTATGAGAGAGGGAGACAGGCTGTTGCTCGGATTGCGAAGACTTTGCGGCCGTTACCGCCTGCTGCGAGGGAGTTTTATCTCTCTCGAATCCTCGACGAACTGCGGCTGGCTACCGAGGAGTAGAGCATGGTCAATACGAATCAGACAGAATTCAGCGTACACTGCTCATCTTCTCTGACTGGCGTATGATTCAAGCACCGGTTACACGTGTGGGGGTTGGAATAGCGTAGGCCATGCACGCAAATGTACTAGATATGTTTCCCTTCCTCCTCATTCCACGAGCCATTCTTCGATATTGACCCCGATACCTCTCCCTATGCCGCGTATAATCTCCCATCCGATATTTATCCTCCACTTACCAGACCTGTCCATGATATCTCCGGTCCCCACTCGTATAAGTAGTCTTAGACTGGCTAGGGTGGCCAAGCCCATACCGATATCGCCATCTATGCCTGACGAGACAGCCAGTGGGATCCATTCTGTTCGTACTGCCTCGAATATCGCTAACAAGCGTTCTAAGAGAAATGCATGCGCTCCAAGTAATTTACGAGATATCTTACGCTGTTTATTTCGATGATTGGCCCGTGAGGAGTTGGGACCGGCACGCCGGCGCTTGCGACCGCTGTAATGGGTGGAGAATATTGTTAAATCATGGCGGACAGTGTTATGAGAGGCGATATAGGCTGAGAGCAAGAGTACTCGAGCGGTAGTCGGTAGCAAGGCTGTCAGTCCCGCGAGAGGTTGTGAGGTTGAGATAGTTGATGTCAGTGATGATTCGAAGTATCGACTTGAAGGCTGCTTGCCATTCCCGATGCTTGTTTTAGATGTTGAGACTCGGGACGAGATAATCTTGGGATTTAGGAAGGCCTCATCCTGAAAAAGGGGTCTGGCAGCAATGAGCAGCTTCGAGAACTGGTGTGGCGTGTTTGTTCCGGCAACAATGGGCGCTATAAACCGCGGCCAAAGAGTATGGCAGCTGTTTCTGAAAGAAGGCAACGACCGTCCAGCGGACTGAGCAAGAGAATCATAGACTGCAGCACAAAACTTTGTCCATAGATTTGCTTCGTTCGGATCGAATGTTGATTCTTGTGCATCCTCGGCCGCGCTTGTCGTTTTATGAGTATGAGATGGAGGCTCTTTTGATAGAATCTCCATCAATTCGGATTTGTTATATGGAGGTAAGTAGAGGTACGAAGTTGGACAGGCTCGAAGAAACCCAGCTGGTGGAGTTGTAACGATAAAAACGCACGTAAGGAATGAAATCTGCCAGTTTCTTATTAGTGGCTGCTCGCTTGCCATGTCATTTTCATGACTCGAATAGTTCCAACTTACAGTTTCACATAACCTCGCCAACGCCGGCATCAAAGTCGGAGGCGCGTCCCTTTGCTTATCCATACCATCTAATACCAGCACAAAATGCTTTAAATTATTTTTTACCCGGGGCTGGTCGAATATGGAGCTCAGCGAGGCCGCAAGCTGGGCTAACGTCTCGCATCGTTGCGGCGAATTGTCGCTGTCCTCGGTGCCATCCCATGCGCTGAGTGCATTGGTTACTGCAACCATGATACCCTCGAAGAAGTGACGCGCAGAAATGCATCGGGCAACGTCAACAATTGCGTAAACGAGCGCGGGAGCACGACTACTCGCGGCGCTATTATCTGTGCTATCGTCTTGTGCTAATCGTGCAAGCAGCTGGGTCGTGACGCTGGATTTTCCCGTCGCTTCGGAGCCGTGTATGACAAGGTTTCGACAAGGCGCGGCGTCTGTCTGGTTTGTATATCATCATTAGCGGCAGGTTGCTTTGGTATGAGAAGCGGAATGCGCTGTACATGGAGTAAAGAGGCAAGCGATCGTATTTGGGAATCCCTGCCAGGAAATTGACGAAGCAGAGGACCCAAGACTGCCTCGTCTGGAAGCTCAAAGATATTTGACGCCATTGAGACGCGCCCCAGAGGGATTGAAGGGCAATGGCAATGTAGATTGGTGCGGATGCAAAGTTGCTAATGATAAGGCTTAGGAGAGCCTACACAAGCAACACCCAGGCTTAGGACGCGAACGGAAGCCGATTCTTATATATGCGTGCAGAGCATTCATCAATTACCTACAGCACGTCTAGCTCTGTATGCAAGACACGCTTGCAAGGGAGGCACGCTAACTCTTTAGGTAAGCTTGGAGCTGCTGCAAGGAGCATGTTAGAACACTTCGAGTTGGGTACCTACATGTCGTTGTATAATGCATCGAATAGCCTTGCAAGATATTTTTGAAGTATCTATATTCTCTTTAAACGAATCAAGTTGGAGTCAATGATTTTTATTGCTTGTCCTCATGGAAAATACCAATTGCATGTATCGATAACTTTTTTTTACCTTGCATCTACATTGTAAGCTTCCCACTTTCTGATCGCTGGATCGGCCAAGTGGATTTGCCCCACTGCGTGAGCTATATATAGGTCAATATCCTCTGCGCGGCTCTGAGCCGCGAGTTATCAGGGCTCCTGTTGACATCATCTATGTCACTCTGCCGGTCAGACAAGAAATGTGAGGCACGATGACTGAATATGGCCGAATAGATCCGTTTTCTTTCGCAGCCTCTAGAGATATTGAGTCTCCAGTTAGCATTAGAATGTAAGGCACCCTTGAGTCTGGACGTTGTGATCTGGCTAACCGCCCCTCTCAGCATTGGCATAGATGGAGACGAGCGTCCTGCTAGATATTCGACACTTCTTGACAAGCCGAATGTCCGCCACATTGGCTCAAATAATAGGTGCGCCATGCAACGATGCGCAGCGATAGAAGATTTAGATTCCTAATGACTGCAGACACAGCCCTTCCTCCGAACTGTATGTTACAGTACAGGTCTGGGCTGGATCCAAGGCCTTGACGGTGCCGATTCAGACATCATACAAACCTCCTCGTCTAGAGCGAAGGTACGTGCTTTACTGTCAATACACATAGAGGATCACACATATAAAGCTAACCTGACGATCTTATCTCCTAGATGGAACGAGTGGCTGCGTTTACCTATTTCTTACGAGTCGATCCCAGTTAACTCCCGGCTGGCCATCACTATATGGGATCTTTCACCAGATCAGGGCATAACCGATGTCTCTCATGCTACTCCATTCGGAGGCACTACCCTTTCCTTGTTTGGTGACGATAACCAAATCATAAGGGGCCGCCAAAAGTGCTACGTTCATAGAAATAAGCACGCAGATGGGACCGACGATACGACCACGCCCGCCATCGTCGGAAACAATGGCAAAGGAATGCCACAGCTGGCTAGCTACGCAGAAGAGCTGGAAAGAATGGAGAGTTTGTTTAAGAAGCACGAAATGGGCGAGATTCCACGCGTAGATTGGCTTGACCAGATGGTTTTTAGAGGATTTGAGAAGAAGGGATTGCATGCCGCCAAGCTATCCACAAAACTGCGCCAGCAGGATCGCACCGCGAATAAACATGACCTCGACAAGACAACTGACGTTCCAAACCACCATGGCGACACGCCCGATTCTTATACGTGCGTCCTGAACGTGGAGTTGCCGCGATTTGATTTTCCAGTCGTTTTTGCAGATCACGAGTATGATCCTCCCCCAATATCGGCTTTACAGCCCTTATCTGCTTCGCAAATGGCAGCGCAAAGGCAACCAGAAGTCCATTTTGGCCCTGGCATCAATGCCATTGGCGAGAGCTCGGCCGATATTAGGTCACGCCTTGTAATGATCTATGACCCTGAAGTAGGACAAAGGGATAACCCTGCTGAAGCAAAACACCGCCGCCTTTTCCGAAGCTCTCATCGACACGGTATCCTCGATAGAGACCTAAAACCCAACGCCAAGGTCCGAGATGAACTAAATGTCATCATGTCCTATCCGCCAACACAGATTTTAACGCCAGAAGAGGCAGATCTTGTCTGGAAGTTTAGATATCATCTGACCAAGGACAAGAGAGGTTTGGCTAAGTTTGTCAAGTCCGTTAATTGGAATGATCAGAGTGAGTTGAAGCAAGCAATTCAGGTTCTGAGTCGCTGGACGGAAATCGATGTGGACGATGCTCTTGGCATGCTAGGGCCATCTTTTGATAACCCTACTGTTCGATCGTATGCCGTCAATCGACTGCGAAAGGCTGATGACGATGAGCTACTGCTATATTTGCTCCAGCTTGTACAAGCACTTAAATATGAGCACATGTCTACTGACTCGAATGAAGAAAACATTCAGGATTCACCGCTGGCACAGTTCCTGATTCAACGCGCTGCAGCAAACTTCATGCTAGGAAACTACTTCCACTGGTATCTCATGGTTGAATGCGACGACTATAGCCCTGAGCAAGACGTCCGCAATCGAGAAATATATCGGAAAGTGGCATATGAGTTCATGACAGAACTCATTAAGCAGCCAGAAGGCAATGACCATAGGAAGACCCTCCTAAGGCAGGCTGAGCTCCTTGCCATCTTGTCAAGGATTGCAAATGAAATTAAGCTATCAAGCGAGTCAATCGCTAAAAAAACAGACCGAGTCAAAACATTCTTTGGAGATGCAAAGAATGAACTCATCAGCATCGATCCGCCACTAGCCATGCCGCTTGACCCTTCCGTCAAAATTACCGGTATCATACCAGATCAAGTCACTGTATTCAAATCCTCCCTGAATCCAATAAAATGCACGTTCAGAACTACAGCTGGAAGTCAGTATCCTATAATCTTCAAACTCGGTGACGATTTAAGACAAGATCAACTCGTCATTCAAATTATTACCCTGATGGACCAGCTACTGCAGAAGGAAAACCTTGATCTCAAACTATCACCCTATAAGATCCTTGCCACAAGTACTACGGCGGGTGCTTCTCAATTTGTCCAGTCACAAAGCCTGTCCAGTATTGTCAGCAAATTCAAAAACAACCCAGCCTTGGCATATCTCAAACACCACAATCCAGACGACCGACAACCCCTGGGCGTGCGTCAAGACACGCTTGATACATATGTTCGATCCTGTGCAGGATACTGTGTTATCACCTATATCCTTGGAGTTGGCGACCGGCATCTCGACAACCTTTTGCTGGCACCAGATGGCCATTTCTTCCATGCTGATTTTGGGTACATCCTTGGTCGGGATCCTAAGCCATTCGCCCCTGTCATGAAGCTCTCCAAGGAAATGGTAGACTGCATGGGCGGAGTACAGTCAGAACATTACCGACAGTTTAAGCAATATTGCTTTTTAGCCTATACTGCATTGCGAAAATCGTCAAACCTGATTCTCAACCTGTTTAGTCTTATGATTCACGCCAACATTCCGGATATCAGGTTAGAGCCAGACAAAGCAGTGCTGAAAGTCAGAGAGAGGTTTCATCTTGAGATGGGAGAAGAAGAAGCAATTCTTTACTTTGAACGGGTTATTGAGGACACATTAACGGCCTTTGCGCCTGTTGTTATTGATAAACTTCATGAATGGGCACAGGCTCTTAGGGCTTAATGCTAATTCTTATAGAGAAGAAAAGAAATACATACATGCATGATTAAAAAGCGTGTCTATCAACAGGCAAGAGGATATGTGACGTAAAATGTATTCAACAAGCGTATTATTACACTAACAAGCAAGCATATCGCTTCATTCTATCGAAGCCTTTTAGCATGCTGTGGGAAACAAGAGCGCCAAGCTCTAAGTATGTCGCGGATCTAGCCACACAATTGACGAACCCCAAGTGGGATTTTTGCAGCGCGGCCAAACAGCCGTACTCATACCTACCCCTTCTCAAAGCGCCCCGTCTAATTTTTCCTACAGCCTTCGTTTACTCGCCCTTGAGCTTGTCTTGGGTGACAGAGAATGCCATCTCCAAAAATTCCTGCTCCTCCTGCTTGTGTGTGTTCTTCAAACCAGTTGCCACAGAGGCAGAGGGGTTACGACCAGCATACATGACGTGCTTGCGGTCGTGGTATTGGGTCTGGTTCAGCAGAGTCTCGATTCGTGGCTGTGTGAAGCTCCAGGCTCCGGCGTTAAGAGGCTCTTCCTGTGCCCAGACGATGGTCTTGGCATTGGGATACATGTCAAGGTTCTCCTTCAGCTGCTGCCAAGGGAAGGGGTTCAGCTGCTCGATACGAGTCAAGGCCACGTTGTCAATCTTGTGCTCTTCGCGGTACTTGTGCAGGCTGGCCCAAACCTGACCGGTGCAAAGGACGACTCGGTCAATCTCTTCAGGAGCCTTGATAGCTCCAGTCTGGTGCTCAGGATCGGGGATAATCCACTGGAATTGAGCGTTGGGGCCAGTGAAGTCCTCAATGTTTGATCTTGAAAGCGGGTGGCGAAGGAGTGACTTGGAGAAGAAGATGATGAGGGCTTTATATGAATGTTAGTACATGATACAATTTGAATAGACATCATAAAGGACAACTTACGTTTTCTGAACTGGCGGTGCATCTGTCGACGCAGGACGTGGAACAAGTTAGCAGGGGTGGTCATGTAGACAATCTGCATGTTGCAATCTTGGTGCTGGCGGGGCAGCTTGTCCTCGGATGGGAAAACGCGAGGATCTTCGTTGCAAAGCTGCAGGTAACGCTCCAGACGACCAGAAGAGTGCTCTGGGCCCTGGCCGTCGTATCCGTGAGGCAGAGACATGATCAGGCCTGTCCTTTGCATCCACTTGACTTCACCAGATGCAATAAACTGATCAATGATACACTGAGCGTTGTTTGCAAAGTCACCAAACTGGGCCTCCCACATCACGAGCGCATTTGGCGATGACAATGAGTAACCGTACTCGAAACCCAAGGCTCCGAACTCGCTAAGAGACGAGTTGGAGATGACAAACTTTCCTTGATCCTTGCTGATGTGCTGCAGGGGAGTGTATGTCTCTTCGGTCTCTTCGGTCTCTTGGTCGTGGAAGACGGCATGACGCTGAGAGAAGGTACCACGCTCAACATCCTGGCCGGAGACTCTCACATGGTA